TAAGTGTTACATTAGATGAAAGGGAAAGCTCAGAATTCACTTACCCACGCTAATGCAATCTTATCAAAACAGTTAAACATCCTTAGTTGGCATAATTATTCACTATGGTTCCACAAACTATACCTAGAATACCTAGAACAAAAAACTTTTACACTGGAAAAATGCAGGATCAATATTAACTTCTCTTAAAAATGCTGCGTTTGAAACTTAAATGATACCCTGACTTATAATGCTTAGAATGGAAAGGCATCAAAGTTTTTTAACTACTGGTTTTTAACATTTTCATGCCTTTTGCTTAAATATATCAACAAGTAGAACCATCTAAGATCTGTATCAAAATTCTTACAAAATTAAATGCAGATATCATAATGCAAATTTTTGGAATACTATAAGTACTCTTAGAAATTTATATTCAATAACCATTGATCAAGTTATTGTTCATCGTCCACCATTCTGCCCATAGTAAGTAAGCCATTGTATCACACAGAATACTACATAGCCAGTTTTATCGGCTAAAATACTAGTGAGACTGCACAGGTGTTTTACCACAATACACACACTCATTGGTAGAAGAAAGTAATCTGTATTTCAAGTGAAATTAGATTACATTTATTCAGCTTTAGTGTCATTGTGCTGAATACAGGTACAGTACAGAGCCAATGAAATGCAGTTAGCATCTAAACAGGGGCAAATAAATACAAATACAATAAATGTAATTAATAATACACATTACATATAAATTGCTGAAACGTAAGAAAAATTAGTGATGCATGTTTCTGTAATAGTGAGGCCTATTCTGTAATATTTTTATTGGTTCAGTACCACCAATGTTCACACAAAAACATTAGCCTGCATTTTACTCCAAGTGGTACTGAAAAGCAGCAATACAAAGGCAGCTTTTCCCTGGGAATAGACAGGAAATTATCTGGTGATGAACAAACAGACATTACACTTCTGTGTGACATTTGTGTGTTAGTAGCTCAAAGATTCACGATCATGTTAACAGGAATTGTGCAGCCCATGTGTCATTCCTGCTTCATTCTGGAATACCTATAGAATACCCTGTCATTCCAATGCCAAAAAGCCCTTGTTAATCCTTCAGCTGTCAATCACCAGCTTCTGACTTTTTTTTCCCTCCATTTTCAGTTCTGCTCCTTCCTTCCATTTTTTTGTACGTGTTGCACAACATGTGCATTTCCTCCCACACTCTCACTCTCAGTGAGCTACTTAATACTGATACGTCCCTGCTGCCAAATCGCTGCAATCTTGGCACCTATGGATGGTGGGCTGGCGAGATGTTCGCTTGCAAATGACATACAGCTCTACTGAAAGACAAAACACATCCATGATGGTATCTGTCGTGTGTAGCTCAGGAGGTTAGGGGACAAGATTTGTGGATTCAAATCCTGTGGCCAGCAGAGTAGTTATGTCATCGTCGGGCCATTAAGCAAGGCCCTTAACCCCAGTCTGCTACAGGGGTTCTGAATACTGCCTGACTTCAAAACTTGCTCTTCTACTTTACATATACAGTACAGAGGTGGATGGTTTTGTTCCAGAAAACACAATTCCAGACCAAGATTTTATAAGGAATCAGAGTAACAGAGCACTGAGCTGATTGGTTGAAGCAAAATCTTGATCTGGATTTGTACTTTTTGGACCTGAACTATTCACCTCAGTGCATCGTGATTAATCAGTTATTAAGGTGCCGATCTTCCTTTAAAGACTCCTACTTCTCATTGCCCCATATCACTATAATGTGCGGCAGGTAGTCAGAAATTTACAAAACATAAGATGATAGGGGAAGTCTTATTAATATTCATAAAGGAAGCACTAACTGATTATGTTTGTGCTACAGTGATGATATTTGTATTACAATGCTTCTGGGAAACTCGTCCCTGTTTTGTAGAGCAGAACACTCTCTCTAATGGTTAAGATAATCTTTGCGCTACAATGCTTTTGGGAAACACCTCTCTTTTGTAGCACAAAAAAGTTGTTATTTTTGAAAGCTGCAGTAGCAAATGGTGAAGACTGACTCTGAAGTAGATAACTAGCTAGCTAAGTGCAAGGTAATGCTAGCCTTTGAAGTGCATGATATATTGGCCAAAAAACACTGTCTGTATCAGCCAATATTCTTTAAAAATCAAGATACTGACATTGTTCCAATGTGTTAGTCATGGAAAATACTGCCATCCAAAATTGTAACTTTATCAATATCCAAAGTTAGCAAACACAGCTACTAAAAAAAATGGAGATGACTGCATTGGCCAGTTCCCATAAGGGAGGAAGAGGGAATTTGTCAGCTTATTCACCACTTAGAAGAGGTCTAAAAGTACTGGCCCATGACTATTTATAATGAATTATTAAATCTGGCAAGCAAATCAATCTTTCACTTTTCACAGAATAAAAATGATGCAATGTCTTTCCACTAATCTGCGCTGTTTTCCAATAATCATGTGTTTGTTTTTTCCTTTACAGTAGGCAACCTTTTGATAATTTACACTTGCTTGTTTGCCCTGTTTAATAATAACAAAAAAATTATGTTAAGTTTCCATTGTAAAATGTGTAAGTTTTTTTTCAGTGAAGTTTAAAAAGGTTTGTGTTTAGTTTATCAAAATAATTGAATAATCAATTAATTGATTTGAATCATGACATTAATCAAATATTTCTGAATCATTCCCTCAATAATCATAATCGAATTGGTTTGGGGCCAACGACTTACACCCCTAACACATACAAACACATACATGCATACACACACCTGACACTGTATCTCTTATGGCTGAAGAACAAGATGGGGTAATGAAGAACTACCCAATTACCCCACAGGGATTAATAAAGTGCCTCTCTTCTCTTCCTTAATGTAGTTCCCTCTTTATGACTTCCAGATCTTACTCCATAAACTGTAAAGTAATCTCCTTTGATTCACAGTGGACGCCATAACATGAAAAAAGCACCTTACCTCTGAACAGCAATGGTACTTATATTTCATTAGTGAACAAAACATTGATCAAAGGCGAACCAGCTAGGATCTAATGGGCACTTCATATCAGTATCTTAACCACTTCATCCATTCCAGAATCTGGGGACAATCTTCTGAAATGAAATCTTCATACCAGACTAAATATCAACATCTTCCTCACTGCAGCACTTCTCAGACTAGCAGAAAGTACTGGAATGTGAATGAGTAACTGTCACTTCTCTAGTTACCATTCATTTCACGCAGCTGTGCTACAAAAAAGCCACATGTGGTCACATCATGAGTTTTAAACACTAAAGACTAAATGATGCAAGAAGACACACAATCTAAGAATAAGCAACAAATTGCTGTACAAAGCTATGAGAGCCTTCCATGAAACTTCAATATTTTTTAATGCAAAGTTAAAACACAAGGAAATTGCTTCCCCTGGGTGCATTTCCTTGATGATATGCAGCTTAGCAAATGAATTCTTCAGACCCATTCACAAGGTTAAAGCCAGGGATACCGCCACAGATTAAATCTCCATCAGACTTTACCTACTTCATTCTTTCTCTCCTTTTGCCCTAAAGACACTTAATTATTGATCATTTTAAGTAATACACTTTTCTCCCCAATGTACTCACAAGCATGCTACCTACTTACCTGTGTTATGTAAACATACCTTCTTGCATACATGCATTGCCAAGGCCAGCATGGACATGCTACCACATGCCTGTTACCACAAGCCACGTGAACATGCTACCCTAAAACCCACAATACCGCTGTCCATTTAATATGCCACCCACATGCCTGTATTACCGGGCATAATGCAAATACGCCACCCACATGCCGCCTTTGCCTCTCGCGCATCCCCTGCTCAGTGGAGGCCAATAGCAGAAGCAGACCAAACAGGCACTTAAGAAGGAACTGGCAGCAAATCATACACGCTAACCGAGGAACTGTGTTTGACAGCACTGTGTGGACAGATGACTGCATGTCAGATGACAAGAAAACGTGTAAAAAAAAAACCTTTGCAATGCGATTGTTCTCCTAAACTTATCAGTCCACAAAATGGTGCTCAAATAAAATAATATGCAATACTCATTATACTGCGATACAGCTACTTGTGAAAGAAAACAGTGGCCTGGTTACAAAAACCTTTTTGACACAGACATAAACTATAGTCAATTAAATCTGACTGTCGTATGGAATAATAATAATAATAATAATAATAATAATACCTAATACACACTGACGAACATTTCAATCTAGGCTCTTGAGAGTGTGACAGCCCACGCACGCAGTACGCGAACTCACTGACCACAAGCTTTATTTGGATTATCCAAGCTGGATAATAAAAAAGTACAAAAATCAGAGCATATCAATGCGTGTCCGTGTGTAGAATTAATAAGTACGATGCCAGATGTTTCCCCTCATCTGCATGAGAGGGATGTGAGACAGGCAGCCGTCACAGAAATCGTTAACTCGCCATCTCCCCTTGAATCACGGCATTGAGAAGCTGCGTACACATCAGCCGCTCAGTCACATTTATGTGCCTTTATCAAAGATCCGTGGTAAATACCCGCATCTTTACTCCACCTGTGCAATTCAGTGGCGCTTCTATATGAACTCCTGAATCTTATCATCTGTTAATTATTTAAAACATTAAGATAATCAATAAACATATAGCATCTATGTTGTATCTACCCCACTGCAAACAACGCATAAATGCATCGCTTTCCTGCGATATGCACCGATAACATTATCTCCTGATGCGTCTCCCATCGCAGCACCAGGATCTTTAATGATCGTTTACGAGCTTGACTAGCTTGCAACGTGAAATTGAATATAACTGTCAACCTAATCACCATATAGGTTCACAGGTATCAAAGATTTAATTATGATTTTATAATCTCACTAAGGAACTACCCGGTAAACGCAGCATCAACCATCACGCTGTCAAAAAAAGAAAGAAAAAAACAACTGTGCATCAATCACTCTACTCGCAGTTCAAACCATGTCTTCAACCCTTATTTGCACTTACCTCTTTATTCAGCCGGTTTGCATCAACATATTGGTACCTAGATTACGCGACGCGTACCAAGCCAGGCATCCAGAGCGTGGTGGGGAACATGAGCATAGTTCTGCGTGTCTGCGATTTCCTCACTCTCTCATAGAGAAATAATGGGTTTCCTCTTCTCCGGTAACGGTGCGCTTCATCCTGTACTGCATCGCCTTTGCATTTCTTGGAATTTGGAAGTTCCTACCAAAGTTGCAACTCCGCCTATCTATGCAGATGCAGGAGGCATGAAGTCACTGCGGTTCACCCCCACCCTCCACCCCCGCCAGTACGACTATCGCGAGACCGGTGGAACAAACCGTATAACATTCGTAAGACCGTAACTGGAAAGAAACGTCTATGGTGACCAAAATCTTGTGATACGTTTTTGTTACGATGATATTTTTGGTACGTCTTTGCGTATAGTAATTGGGAAATTATTTCATGGATGGCATGTTCTAAAAGCCTCCATTTATTTACTGTGCACAAAGAAAATGCATGTTGTGAAAGACATGAAATTTTGATAGGCTACTTGCATATTTACTTGAACCGCTACATCACTTAATGGCAGAGTGTGACGTGCATTACGTGTGCTAAACTTACCTGCAGTTCCCTGGTTCCCTGCCTCTTTTTCTGCACCTGTCTCCTTATCAACGTGCCTGAAGGAGCTGGATTCTTACCCCGCCCCCATACAGGTATCACCGCTCCCTGCTGCTCTTGACAACTGCTGTACACATAATGACTAGGGGCATTGCCTCACTACCCCAGCCTTAATTCTGTTTTGTTGCTCGTTTTCAAACAGCTACGCTCTGAAGCAACAAGTCATTCAGTGATTTGATCAGTTTCTGCCTCAGCACAGCAAGGTTTTGCCGAAGAGCGCTTCATTTTCTGTTTGTTATTAGTATCAGTATTATATTTTGATAACCAGGGTGTGCATTGACAGAAATTGATAACAATATTTTCCCAAAGTCAACCATTAGCATGATGCCTATACTCACAAAACTCTCGAAGACTTTGATCCTCTCTAAGAGTACAATGGAAATGGAGCGTCGCTGAATTACAGCAATTTCATTTTAGTTGGAAAAACAGATACGAGTCACTTCCCCCAGAGCCAGTCCAGCCTCCACCCCAGTCTATAGACATCATCCACATGACCCATCCCCCATGAATGTTGAAACCCAGTTACCGTCAGCTACAATCAAATAATGTTAATATATATTTTTTTATTATTTCTCTTACAGATGCTACTTACCACTAGCACCTATTTTTAGAAGAATATCCCCTTATGGCCATTTAGAGTATTTCTTCCCACACATGTTTAAATTCGATCAGTACAAATGATTATGCTATGCTATGATGCTATGCTATGATTTTACATGCTTGTGAAAAACTTCAATAAGTAAGTTTAATGTTACTGTTTGATTACATTGCCCTCTGTTTTGAAAACATTACCTGCCGATCTGTGCCTATACTCTCTATGAAGGTAGGAGAATGTGCGTACAGTGAGGACTGCAATACGTCGTTGTGCACGCATTCCTGGCGGCCAGCAGACTCCCGACACGCTAAGCGGGCTCACCGCGCGTCCTGCTGCACCTAACGTTGTCTGTAGCCTCAACAGGCATAACAAAAACTTCTCTCCTCAAAATTTACCCATCAACTGCCACTTCACGTAAGGCAGTCTGGGCCTCTGACAAATATGTAAAGAAAAGCCACAACATTTAAGCGGGCAGTACACAGCTGGCATAGTCTGTCCGACTTAAGTAGAGTTCCAGCCAACAGTTGCATTTGTCCACCAGTCAACACAATTTTATGTGTAGTATCCAATATTGTGTTATGTATCCATTCAAAGAACAGTAACTACTTCAATACTTTTTAAATATTGATATGAAATATTTAAACTAAAGATATTAGTTCTCCAAATTAATGATTTAGATTAGTTTAAAATACCAAGAATAGAAAAATCAGGATTCTGTGTTCATATGTGCAAATCACTGGCATGACTTAGCACGCTGCATCTTCCAGTAAACCATCTTTGGGCCCCTCCCTTAAATCTGTCACAGCATGTGATCTGCGACTGTATTCCACCAGCACAATGGTTACATAAAATGTATTGATTTGTGTATAAATCAAAACAATAGCACCTGAAATTCGCTGCTTAATAGTCAATTATTTAATGGATAAGTAAATGAATGAAACCAGCCACAGTATAAATTAGATGTTTAATGATGTAGAAATGTAGAAACCTGATTGAGAATTTGCAAAATGTATCAATACTTGAGACTTCTAGACCTGTTTGCTTCCCAAATGAATGAGATGACCTTAAAAGTTTTTTAAAGGTGGCTTCTAGCTAACCCCAGTCTGGAATGGGGAAGAATGGTAGTAATAGTAATGGTAAAGGTGAAATTAAGGTGAGTTATCTGTAATTTTATGTTTAATCTTTAACATGGTTGGTGTCGTGCTCAGCCCGAAGGAGACACTGTCACCTTGACACAACCAGAGAAAACGGCACATCTTACGATGAAGAAGAGGGATTTCAACCTGTAGGAAATGTGTCCAACCTGTGAGTGACTTGAAGCATATTCGAGTTGTCATTTGAGTCTTCAACAGAATGTTTGACTTTCGAATGGCAGGCTTAAAATTATTAGTCAGAGGACAGAGCAGAATTCATATCCAACACGTAAAATTACAGTGAATCCATTTTATAACACAGAAAATGATAGAAATTGCAATAAGCAAGCCGTCCTTCGTAGATTATATTTTTGAACATTGAGTTAAAATGACAAGTATAGGTGAGAATGTGACTAAACACTGTTTTTGGTTCTATTATCAGCAGCATGTTTCCAAGAGCTCAGAAGTGCTGTGAGTCATTCCCCTGTGTGAGTGCTGCGATGACATCATCACGCTTCCTATAAAGGGCCTTGAAGCCAGACCACCCACCCGCCCACACAAACACCCCTGCTGCAGCCATCACATCCATATAGAATAACAGGGAACATCTTTTTCTGTCCAACCTTCAGGGATGTTCAGCATTTTCCTTCGAGAGGAAAACTACAATGTCTAGTGGTAGCACTGTTCTGCCTTAGAGAAGATGATTTGGGGGTGGAGGGGGAGAGAGAGAATTTGCAAATTCTTTTTTGGGATCAGTATTATTTTTCAGTTGTGCCATGACAGAAAAAGACTGTTATGAGACAACATAAAGCAATAGCAAACAAGGTAAAAGCAGCCTGATTAATTATCAGTATTATCTTTGAGTATTAATCTGAAAAGAAGAGATAAGATGTAGCTCTTGTGTCCTCTTTCTGATTTTATGTGATTGATATTCAATGGTTTAGCTGATAGTGTCCTGGCCTGCAGGTCAGAGTGTAGTGTTTACATGCTCTCTCTAGGAACTCCACCCTCCTTTTGAGGGGCAAAGATAAATGTTGTTCAGGTGAAATGACGACTCTACAGAGCCGCCAGTGGGAGCACCATCACGTCCAAATCACTAACTGTCTTGGCACCACGCCGCGACCGCTACAATATGCACCCTCTCAAATAATAGTAATCTCTCAAATGCCCAGACTAGTTTGTAAAAAAAACATGTCAATAATTTTGTGATTAGTGAACAATTCTTCATTATTCTGTATAACACATTCTTTTTAAAAAGTTAAAATGTTTTTACCTAAAATGTTTTGCATAAGTCAGCGGTGGCCAATCTTACCCACAAAGGGCCGTTGTGTATGTGGGTTTTTGCTGCATCTCCCTAATTAGATGACTGATTGGCAGAGGAGTCCTCACACCAGGGTTTGAACAGCTGACCTAAAGGTTACCCCAAAAACGTGCATAGACACCGGCCTTTTGCGGATAAGATTGGCCACTGCTGGCGTAAATAATCAGAGGCTGTTCCTGCTCTACATCCTTCAGCAATCTTTATCAGAACCCTTTTTCTGTAATCCCTAATTCACCAGCAGGTGTCACTGAAAGTTACAAATGCTTTGAAAGACACATCTATCTTTCATATCTGCAGTGTCACAGTGAGCCTATTCCAGGAAGCGCAAGGTGGGATGGGATGCCACTCCATCAAGTCCCACCCGCACCTACACGCACTCACACAATAGGGGCAATTTAAGACACGATCTGCTTAAACCTTTGGAATGTAGGAGGAAACACAGGAAGAACATCCACACACAGAGAACTGTTGCAGAAATCAGACCCACGGCCCTGGAGGTCTGAGGTTACAGTGCTAACCATTGAACATCATGCCAGAGAGATGTATACAGTATGTACTCTATATATTACTGTCATGTCTCATTCACAAATTCGTATGGCTCTGATTATATGATCTGGATTATATGGATGCCCACTTTAAAAACCGCAAAAAGCTTATTTGTAAATTTACCTATTATAAACAGATGTTTACAAATTTGTAAATTTACAGGACACAGATTCAATCAGCTATGTCTGAAACAATTGCATTGAATGTGTTACTGAAATAATCAAAACATTCAAACAAAAAACTACCATAAATGTAAGGTCTGCAAATGTTGTAAAGTTTAAAAGGAATGATAAATTTTCAAATAACAAATTTTCCCAGGCTGCTCATGAGGCAAGCCAACAAAAGTCATACGTACAGTATATAAACACTGTTTCTGTTATATCACTACTCATACACTTGGGGGCACTATAGCAACATATTCAACATATTTCCATGAACATAAAGCTTACATGAAGGCAGATTTTTTTGATAAATAAAGTTGCAAGTTCGATGTTGTATAATGGATCACTGTTGCTTATGTTTCCTAAAATAATTCAAACAAGAAAATCAAGATGAAAGGAGTGCAAGATGCAAGCCCCAGAAACAATTTTCTACTGACCATACTCCAGAATCAGAATCATTTATTAATCACGGCCAAGGCGTACAAAATAATTTTCAGTAACACTTTCTATGAATACCACGTTTGCAAGAATCTATGATCACATTCATAACATGTTATAATGCATTCATATAGCATTGGCTATAAATATTTATAAAAGGCATAACACAATATAGCCATGATTATTATGCATTATGAATACTTTATGAAGCTCTCATCTATAATGCACTATAGGTGGCTTCCTAATGCAGTTCAATGCATCTTTAATGCTTATATTGACCATTATAATGCATTTTGAAGGTATGTATAGTACATTATAGATGAGAGCTTCACTGGAGCTTATGAAGTATTATAATCAACAGTATAATGCCTAATGACGTTATTAACTCTATATGCAATATTTTCAAAACGTACACTCGAGTAGACTGCATGCATTTGTGACATAAAATATTATAATAGCAATTATGTATTACAACTACATAAAACTACATAAAAGTTAATAAATACTGACACATCTCCCAAATACTGAAACACAAACACAATCAAATATATAAACTGAAATTTTATTCAAAATACCACAATTAATGCACTTACAGGTGAAAATGAACTCTTCAAATTTCAATTAAAGCCTTAAGATATAAGCAGTGTAATGGTGATATTATTGTTACTTAGTTTTAGTGCTATTATTTAGTAGTCAACAAAATATCAAATTGTATAGAAATAGTCATAAATAACTCAAAAATCATATGCATGTAAATTAAAATAGTGCAAACAAATTAATTAATTAATTAATTAAAAACAATAAAATCCCAAAGGTGTTGATACTCTGTTCTATTTCTGAGCTGGGCCCAGTGGTTCCTAGGGGCAAACCTTAACTCTGAGGAGAGCAGCTTCACGCTGCTGCCTCTGCTGGTTGTGCTCGCAGCTGGGGTCACCCTGTGGCTCATCGTGACTGGCCAGTGGGGAGCATTTGATGACCAGTGAACAGTCGGGGTCCGCCGAGGTGCCCACCTTTCTCACTCGCTGACGTTGTCTCCGTTGAAGGTCCGGCTGGCTGGCAGGAGCGGCTTGAGGTCACGCTGCACACGTCTGGGACACTGCAGGAGGACAGGGCGGCACCTTTGTCGCTGATCCCATGGATGTATTTTGTGTATTTAAATGCTCCTGAAATTGTGTTTTTAAAATGACGTTATTAACTCTATATATAATATTTTCAAAACGTCCAAATCTTTTAAAGTCTTTCTAATGAATTGTGTTGATTTGGGGATCATTTTTATGAATCTTGATGCCACATGGATACCATGCCAGACAAAATCAACTTCATTCATGCAGGAAATCTACTGTAATGGACACATGTCTAATCATAATTTACTGCACATCTAAGCAAAACATTAGAGGCCATATTTCTCACCCTCTTCTTCATCGGTGATCAACACAGTTCTTCAGGAGGGCCGCCAGCCCCTGATTTTCTCTGCACACCACACAATGGATTGCAGCATCTTTTTAGAGTATAATGAGTCAGAGTTAAACCAACACAGATGAGCGATAAAACTGAAGAGATGTAGAACTGAAACAACAGCACTTGCATCAGCTTGATTTTCTTATTTCTTTGGATGTACATGCACTGTTGGGGCTTTTGATTACATTGGTAATGCTCTTGCCTAACTTGTTGATGGTCCTATTGGACAGTGGTACCTAGAAATCTGAAAGACTCCACTCTGCTGACTATGGTGTCATCTATTTTTAATGGAGGTGGTGGGTAGTGCTTTATTCTGAAACCGGTGACCTTCTCCACATTTCTTTGTGTATTCTGTTCTAGCACAAGAAGTTTGACAAATATTTTACATTTTGAAGTACAGTCAGTGTATAATGAGCAGAGCAAGAAAGAAAGCATTTGGCATACAAGTCTATGGGAAGAAACATGAATGGAAGAGGGATGAAAAAGAGGGATATAACTTTTCAAAAAGGAAAATACAAGCACACCTCTTCTTAACGGGTGAAACATCTGAGAGGTGGAACAAAGTTTCTAGGTGAAGAACTGTAGGAGGAGATGAAAATCTTGAAAATCACAGGAATAATAAAAAATATGAAAAATAATAATAAAAAAAACTTAAGAAGAATAATGTATGATCACATAATTATTAATGATCCAGAGTCCCCAGATGGAGAAACAGTCATTTGAAGAGAAACACTTTTCTAATTTGTCCCTGTACCGGCAGGTGAGAGTCTTGATTGCCTTGCAGAGCGCATTCTTGGCTGCTGTAGTCCTCTTCCTTAGCTAAGCATAGTCTGCCATTGATTCATTAATTCAGCCAGGAACCAGGGTTTGTTGTTGTCTTAGCAGTAAATGATCTTTGTCAAGATGTAGATTTCATTGCAAGCGCTGATGCAAGAGATAACAGCACCAGTATTACTGTCCTCGTTTCTGGGACTAGTTTTGAATATGTTCCAGTCTGTGGAGCTTAAGTAGTCCCTAGGAGCTTCTGTGGCTTCTGTATGCCATATTATAACCAATTTTGCTTAGGCTTAGCAGCTTAGCAGATTTCCTCTGAAAATATTAATTAGCTCAAAGATTACTGAGCATGAAAACATTATCCACCCACCCACCTGTAATTACTAATTAATTTCGAGGTCAGCTATCTCTAAAAAAATCATACAGAAAGCAAGGACATTAAGAAAATTAAGATAATTTGTTTGTGATATAAAATTTTAGTAGTGTTAGACAGTAGCATTCTTTCCCACTTATTATCCAGCCTCAGAAAGTGCCCCAAGTGCATAATGCATGCCCCCATCCACACAAGTTAACCAAGCTTCTGAATCATTGTTTAACCCAAAGCTTTAATTCATTAGCAAATAAAGCACCATAATATTCAGACTACTTTACCTTTAAATTATTACACTTATTGAAAATAAACTGTTTGTTCACTTTCTTTCCTATTCAGTAATTATCCATAGTCATTGGAACAAGCTACCATTTGAAGATCCCATGCATGGAAAATACTAGTGTGATACTTTCTTTCATGTGGTGAAGGTTGGTGATGTTCCAGTTACAGTTCTGAGGGCAAGAACTCAGGAATTAAACTTGATGCACCAACGGGGAGCCATTGCTGGTGTAATATTTGCATTTTAGCTGATTGAATACCAGATGTGCCACTGCACTTTGAATGATCTACATTGTTTTCACAGTGGATACTGGTAGCCCTGCCAGTAAAGAGCTACAGTAGGGAATTACCTGGACACTGAATTGAGCTGCATATTCTGATAAATTTGATACTTCTGACATGTTATACAAAGTAAATCTACCTAATCACAAAATAGCTGTAATGTGATCAGGAAAGGAAAGAAAACTCGCCATCATTCATTATCCTTAGGTTTCTAGGAGAACTTGACAGAGATAATGTTGATGATGTATGCTGGACAGTGATGTCCTGTTGAATAGCTGGGATGGCAGGAAATTTCAAGAAGCTTTGTCTTCAAAAAGTTCAGTTGGAGGTGGAGATCCCTCATGAAGGTTGTGATGTCAGTGAGGTACATGGAATTCCAAGCAGAGACTGTGGTGTCCTTAGGAGGGAAGGACAGTTAGAGTTAGATGCCATCTGCCTCGTAGTGGCTAGAGAAGCCATGCGAGTGGGTGATGGGAGATGTGGTGTACAGTGGGCCGAGAACTGAATCTAGAGGCACACCTGTTAGCTCATCTGACACCTGATGAAACCAGCACCTTTTCATTTTTAATATCTGTTCTTAAATATTTGATGATCTTTTCATTTTAATCTTTAATTTTCATATTTATTTGTATACTCTTATTTATGTCTGTTTTTATTTTATGCACATTATTTTATATCTTATTTTCTGTAAAGCACTTTGAATGACCTTTGTGTATGAGGATGTTCTATACAAATAACCTTGACTTTGCAATGTACCTTGAAGGGTATACCTCAGAAGTAAGACTCAAACCACCTCAGAGCCATGTCATGGCCCCCACGGGAAACTCATTCATCTGCCTAACAGGTGGCCCAGCACCAAGAATAGCGGACAGTCAGAAAGCCACTAAATAGAGAGGATGCTCCAGAACAGGGAGAGAAGGAACAGCATAAATACCAGCATCCTCGGAAGGACAACATGGCTCATTGGACATGTAAACATGCAAACCTCCAGATACTTTTTTGATGCCTATCTTACTCCAGATGCTGGGAAAACAATGGTCATGACACTGATGTGCCCTTGTTCCCCCTTCTAAGCACCTCTTTTCTTCCTCCATACAGATGACAGTGCAATGCATTAAGGGTCTGATCATCAGCTTCAGTTTACCTGGACTTCCCCATCAGACCAAAATCTACCCAAGGTTTTCACCATGACACAGCTACACTGGTAACTCCCCATGGACTAAAACACAGTATCACCTCCCTAGCACATGACCAGGGGGCTCCCTGCCCTCCTGTTTCATCATTAGTTGTGTCTGGGTTAATGCTCTCCAAGTCATGCATTAAATATTTTTAGACACATGACTACAGAGGGAAAGAACAACCCAAAGCGCAGCAGAGTGCTTTTTAAAACATACAAAACACGGCTTGGAGGTCATTACCTTGCTTGGTTACCATACATTTGCCTTACACATTTAGTATTCATTAGTAGAACTAATTTCTTTAAACATTTGTTCAGTTTCTGTTAGTTTTAAATGGTGTTCTATGTTGTGAAGATGTTCACGTTTACATTTTGGATCGTAACAGATACATCTTTTTTACTTTCCATTTAATCCAGTGCACAACTTAGAGTTAAATTCTATTTAGAGAATACACTGCCTTAAATACTGTGAAATACCAATTGCATATGAGGATAGTTTCAGTGAATGTCTTAAGAACAAAACAATTGATCGATGCAGATACATAAATCATTCTACTTACTACAGCTAAGACAATTACACCTCAATGAAGTAGTGATTTCATAACTTTGCGAATAAACATGTTCTGATAAGAAATGTAGGGCACAGTACTCTCTGCTCACTTGCATCAGAAATATTTATGACTGCAATAAATAATGACTGCTTAAAAAGGACTCAACTGAGAGCTGTCAACAATCTCTTCTAAAAAGGCAGAAGTCAAAAAAAGGAAATTCACTCACATGGTAAGCAGAAAAAATCTTACATTTTATTGAATGTACTGTTCTAATAATCTCAGAAAGAGAACTGGGTTTAATTGGCCAAGTTTGTTCACACACAGGGAATTTATCTTCAGTTGTTAGTGCTCACGTGTATTTCTGTAGGGAAACTGTGTACAGTATGACGAATGGCTTTCTTGGAGTGAACCATACCATACTCCAGAGAAACTGATTACAGTTCTATTTCAATAATTTAGTTTAAAAGGCACTGCTTATCAGATATCATCCTTAATAACTGAGAGTATAAATGATGCAAAAAAAAATTATGCCTGGTACTGAAGAAGTGGCACATAGCATCTATGTTAACTAATACTATTTACTCATATATGCATCTAATGTTGACATAAAGTTAACAAACATGAATACAGGACTCAAGTGATATTTTTGTCATGGAAGAAAGCTTTCTTTCTGATTCGAGTCTCTGCCATGGCTCCATGTGTGTGAAGTTTTCAGCTTACCTGGATTTCTCCATCAGACCAAAACCTAGGCAAGCATGTTCTCTCCATGCCATTGTGGGTTGTCCCCCACAGTCCGAAAGCATGCTGAGGCTAACTGGAGTTGCCAAAATGGGCATAGGTGTGCATGTGTGAGTGAATGGTGTGTGAGTGTATGGTGTGTGAGTGTATGCTGTGTGAGTGAATGGTGTCTGAGTGTATGATGTGTGAGTGTATGCTTTGTGAGTGAATGGTGTGTGAGTGTATGGTGTGTGAGTGTATGCTGTGTGAGTGAATGGTGTCTGAGTGTATGATGTGTGAGTGTATGCTTTGTGAGTGAATGGTGTGTGAGTGTATGG